GGCAAATAAGTAAAAAGTCTCGGGTGGTTTTAGCAATTTTAAGGAACTGTTAGGTTCATGATGTGATGTAAATAAAATATGGAAGAATTTGTGCTTTGTTTTGATTTGTTTATTCCTCGTTTCTTTTTAATGAAATGAAACTGTTTTGTTTATTACTAGTTTTTGGCCCGTGCATTTGCACGGAAAGCTATATGATAGAAGAGAATAAAGTAAAAAAAAATAAATATAAAAATAATAACATAATCATTGAAACAAAATAAGAAATAATATCTAAATATTATTAAATATTTCTTTATATACAACGTTCGTGGTTTTTCTATCGTCACAATCTCCATCAACACAAATTATTATCTCCAAACTCCTCCGACTGATGACTCTAGATCGTGCTACATACAATTGTCCATGACTTAATACATGATTCTTCATTAGTAAATTGAAGCCTTGGAGGAGTACGTCAACAAATCTCTTGTCAACACATTTTGAAGATGGTAGTTTGCACATTTTGGTACATGACTATTCTAACGATTATATCTTCAAAATAATAATAATAACAACAATAATAATAAAAAAATAATTGATTGATATAATTAAAACAACAAAGGAAAATGTAATAGCTATTTATAAAGACAAAAAATTAAACAGTACCTATAAGCATAGTTGGGTTAACAAACTTGGGACTATTGTACCCTCACTTGGCGTGTATCATGTCCCGAGTTCGAGTCACTCGGAGGGGAATTGGGGAACCAGTTTAGATCCTCCTTTTTAAGAAGAAAAAAACAAACTTGGGACTATTTAAATCCTTGAAATTTTTGAACTTGTACATGGAAGAATTTATAAACACCGCCAGTTTTGTTTTTCCATAAAATAAGAATATATTGAAATTCATCCATGTTTTGAAGGAGTTAGTATTGGGATTATAAATAAATTTATCTGGCCATCATAATTTAGCTAAGTATTAATTTATTTTAATTAATATAAATAATTCGAATTATAATGTGTCTGATCTTTGGGATTAATTTTTGCAAAATAAATATGAATAAACAACTGTTATAAGTCATTCTTTTGCTGATGGGGATTTTCCAATTACGGGGAATAATTATCATAATTATTTAATTAATAATTATAATAAGCAATTTGGAAGTGACATAATGTGAAGGAAATGATAATAATATAAGTCATTCTAGTGCTCAACCCGTGCATTTGCACGGAGAAAAATACTTAGAAAAGATAATAATATAAAAAAATACATAACCATAATTCATTTCATGAGAAAAAATATGAATTAAGAAAATGATTTTAAATTTTATTAAACATATTGTTTGTATACAATATGGTTTTTCTATCGTCAGAATCACCATCACCACATATCATTATTTTCAAACACTTCCCATTAGTAACTCCAGAAAAGCAACGTCCAATTGTTTATTACTGAAAACAGGGTCATTCAAGACTAAGCGAACGTGTGAGAGAGATTGATCTTGACTCTTGATGATCGCCATAGTATAGGAGACCATGTTAAAAAAAAAAATTGCGTCGAAATTTTAACGATACCCTCAAACAAATAGGAAATAATAAAATAGAAGAGCCATTACAACCATTTTCTTTATGCTAAATCAATTTTGTAACTCCCTTAATTGATTTATGCTCATAATTTATGGCATTCAAGCAAGTTAATTTGTAACTTAAAAATGAAATTGAATGCTAAAAAAATTGGAGGGAGAATAAAATTTAATGCATCACAATAAAATTAAATGCTTGTCTTGCCAAATTATATATTTATAGATTTCCAGAGTTATTTAAAATAAATTATTTAATGTTAATCTAATTAATATTACTCATGTGAAATTATTGTTGGACTAATTTTTTTATTATGTCATGGGGCAAATTCATTATTCAGTTGTTTTCAGACTTACTTTAAAGACTTGTTTGATTTTTAAGGTAATTGTTAGTAAATAATCATGCATATTTTTAAATAGATGTTAAAATATCATATTTTAAAAGTTACATAAAAAATAATATTATATAAAATAAATAAGTAGTAGTATGAAAAGTCTTATATTAAAATATGAATAAATGATAAAAAGTAAGTCAACATGATCTAATAAATTGGTGTAAAAACATGATTTGAATTAGTCAATGTGGAGTTGGAAGAATAAATACTCTATTTACAGTTTTTCCAAAAAGTCAAAGCTTTTAGGTGATCAAGAGAAATTCAATTTATTTCTATTGTTCTGACATTATTTCAATGTGAACGAAATATTTTTGTATGTTACCTATCTTTTTTGGATATGCATGCAGTATTAACTATTAACAGTAGATTGTTAAATGAAACGACTCGATCGTGAGTTCGGCTCGACACGTTTATCTAGCTCGAGTTCGCTTACAGCTTATTTCGTTAACAAGCCGAATCTGACTCAGCTTGATAAGAGTTGAAAATAGATTTTTTACATAATTTTCTCTAATTCGACCTGTTAAAACTCGATATCTACTCGTTTAATCATTTTCGGTAAAATGATTAAATTAAAGGGTAACAGCCACTAAAAACAAGCAAGTCCATTTCATTAAATAAAATACAATAATCATATTCCAGCTTAATATTTTGATCGTCGTCGCCATTATTGTTCTTGGTATTGTTAATTTTGTGGTGTGTTAAATAAGATAGAAATATTGAAAATAATATTTATCAATAAATAAGTAACTGAATTTTTGTACGGGTCTTATTCATGAACAACTCATATGGGTCGTGCATGTATATAATTTACGAAATAGTTACGTATTTGTTTTATAATTTCACCAACTATTGCATATAAAAAAGAAAAAATGTTTATTATGAATACATTAAAAAAAACATGTTTATTATGAATATAAAGTAGGCTCCTCATTTAATACACATAAATTTAATAGGAACCTAGAGCCGAAATGCAAAAAATAAATATTTTCCATGTAACATTTTTCGGTTCGGTTTTATGCAATTAATTCATATACATTTGGAATCGGAACCTATTTGTGCAAAAAAATAATTATTCATAACATATTCCGTTTTGGTTTAATCTGAAAATACATTTACGGCAAAAAAAAAAAATTATAAATTTGTCCCGACGAATAGTAATGGTATATCATGAGACGAAACATAAAGCTGCAAAGAAACCTGCGGCTTGCACTGGATTGGGCTTTCGAAATCGTGTTAAAAGATTAAAATCAATAAAATACGAGCAAGCAAAGCATACAAGCAGCTCGGAATCGTCACCTTCTCTATCATGAAGCTGTATTATAGAAGAAAATGATCGATCATATGTTGTATAACATCCGCACCATCCGAATGCACGTTATGGTCTTTAACCTACATTTACCCAAAAAAAAAAGAACAAAAAAAAGAGATAGCCCCTTTTTTTAGTTATGTTCTTTTACTGTAAGTAAAATATTATGTCGAAACAGAACACACGCACGAAATAAAAGTGTAAATATGTGTGTGTGTGTGTGTGTGAGAGAGAGAGAGAGAGAGAGAGAGAGAGAGAGAGAGAGAGACCTGGATAACACTGTGGGCAGCAAACTTGAGCCGGCTACTATGAAAGCTTACATCGACTTTTTCCCACGATATGCGAGAAAGGCCATTTACAAGTTCCTCTGTCACATGGCCACAACACGACTTTAATTCCAAATCCGAAATATTTTTAAACGCACAAAAAACCATAAGGAAATGCACTCGTGCAAACGAGACAGCAAAGACCATTATTATTCAGATATAAAAGGAAGTTAAAAAACGCATATTTGAAAGATGAAAATGAGAGATTTAAAACTATGTAGGAAGAATAAACAGAAAGTTCCGGACCTTCCAGCTCGTCAGCGACATTGTCCACAACTGTAGACTCTTCAAGCTGGTCCTTGTCATAAGCCTTGCACCGTTCTTCATACACAATGTGGGGATATTTTTCATCAACACAATCTTCCCACTGTCGAATAATTAGAAGTCATATATAGTAACTCAATAGAATGAAAATAGTATAATGCAGAAAACAGATGAACAAAATATCACTGAGGTTTGAAAGTTTGAACTGCCTGCAAAATTACTCAAATTGTGTGATTATATTTGTAGCATTATTATAATCAACCCCCTTAAATTAAA